CTGGAAGCTTTCCTTCTGTTTCTATTTTTTGAAACAGCTTCAGGAGAATAGTTATTATTTCTTCTTTGAATGTTTGGAAGAATTCACCCAGGAATCCATCAGGCAAAATCAATGCATAGAAACCAGTTGCTTTCTTATACACTAACAATGCAACTGTAGAAAGAGAAATTAGAGAATCGATTCCATTTACAATAGCACCAAAAACCATAAGATACCTCAGAATAAACCTAACCAAAGAGGTAAAGGATCTATACTCTAGGAACTACAGAACACTCATGAAAGAAATTGAAGAAGACACAAAAAGATGGAAAAACATTCCATGTTCATGGATCAGAATAATAAACATTGTTAAAATGTCTATGCTGCCCACAGCAATCTATACCTGCAACGCCATCCTGATCAAAATTCCAACATTTTTCAAAGTGCTGGAACAAACAATCCTAAAATTTGTATGGAATCAGAAAAGACCCTGAATCACCAAGGAAATGCTGAAAAAGAAAAACAAAGCTGAGGGCATCATATTGCCTGATTTCAAGCTATATTACAAAGCTGTGATCACCAAGACAGCATGGTACTGGCACAAAAACAGACGTACAGACCAAATGGAACAGAATAGAGAGCCCAGATATGGACTCTCAACTCTATGATCAAATAATCTTCGACAAAGCAGGAAAAAATATGCAATGGAAAAAAGACAGTCTCTTCAATAAATGGTGCTGGGAAAATTGGACAGCTGTATAGAGAAGAATGAAACTCGACTATTCTCTAACACTATACACAAAGATAAACTCAAAATGGATGAAAGAACTCAATGTGAGACAGGAATCCATCAAAATCCTAGAGGAGAACATAGACAGTAACCTCTTCGACATTGGCCACAGCAACTTCTTTCAAGATACATCTCCAAACGCAAGTGAAACAAAAGCAAAAATGAACTCTTGGGATTTCATCAAGATAAAAAGCTTCTGCACAGCAAAGGAAACAGTCAACAAAACTAAGAGGCAACCCACAGAATGGGAGAAGATATTTGCAAAGGACACTACAGACAAAGTGCTGATAACCAAGATCTATAAAGAACTTCTCCAACTCAACACCCAACAAATAATCAAGTCAAAAAATGGGCAGAAGACATGAACAGACACTTCTTCGAAGAAGACATACAAATGGCTAACAGACACATGAAAAAATGTTCATCATCACTAGCCATCAGGGAAATCCAAAACAAAACCACAATGAGATACCACCTTACACCAGTTAGAATGGCAAAAATTAACAAAACAGGAAACAACAATTGTTGGTGAGGATGTGGAGAAAGGGAACCCTCTTACACTGTTGGTGGGAATGCAAGTTGGTATAGCCACTTTGGAAAACAGTATGGAGGTTCCTCAAATATTTAAAAATAGAGCTACCTTATGACCCAGCAATTACACTCCTGGGTATTTACCCCAAAGACACAGATGTAGTGAAAAGAAGGGCCAAATGCACTCCAATGTTCATAGCAGCAATGTCCATAATAGCCAAATTATGGAAAGAGCTGAGATGCCCTTCAATAGACGAATGGATAAAGAAGATGTGGTCCATATATACAATGGAAGCTTACTCAGCCATCAGAAAGGATGAATACACAACTTTTAGATCAACATGGATGAGACTGGAGGAGATTATGCTAAGTGAAATAAGTCAAGCAGAGAAAGTCAATTATCATATGGTTTCACTTATTTGTGGAACATAAGGAATAGCATGGAGGACATTAGGAGAAGGAAGGGAAAAATAAAGGAGGGGAAATCGGAGGGGGAGAAGAACCATGAGAGACTATGGACTCTGAGAAACAAACTGAGGGTTTTAGAGGGGAGGGGGGTGGGGGGATGGATTAGCCTGGTGATGGGTATTAGGGAGGGCATGTATTGCATGGAGCACTGGGTGTTATATGAAAACAATGAATCATGGAACACTACATCAAAAACTAATGATGTACCTGTATGGTGACTAACATAACATAATAAAATTAAATTTTAAAAAATTACATTGAGAGCTTTTCCCTATGTCATTCCTTATTCTTTAGGAACATGACATTTAATGAACGTATGACCCTCCATGATACGGGTATACCCTGTAGACATTTAAGTTGTCTTCAGCATTCTCATTGTTAGATATAAGGCAGCACTAACCATTCTTTGAATATATGTATCAGTATTTCTGATTATGAAATATCTACATATGGATTCACTGGAGAAAAGGCTGTATGCTCTTAACACCTCTGAGTGTACTGCCAAGGAGGCACCAATTTATACTCCCACCAGCAGAATATAAAAGTTCTCATTTCATCCTAATTTTGCCATCACTGTTCATTGGTATTTGTGTTTGTTTGTTTATTAGTATTTTTTAACCTTACAAATTTGATGGTGGTGGTGGGGTAGTTGTCTAACTGGTTTTTCAGTTTGCACTTTTTCTCAACGCATATATTAGGTTACCAGGTAAGAAATATTTTTGTATGGGGTTTTGATTATTTTTTAATTTATCTCCCTAGATTTTCCAATGAGGTATTTACCATTTTTTTATTCTTTTATGGTATGGGCACGTGTGTATGTATGTTGTTCTGTGAACAGAACAATGATTTATACACACACACACACACACAGGTTTATATGGATGCAAACTCAAAAACATATTTAAGACATTACTCTTGTAACTCTTTGTTGTATATGTTACAAATATTTTTCTGAGCTCTGCCTTCATTTTATTTGTATGTTTTTATGCAATATAACATTTTTCTGTATTTGATCTATAAATCCTTCCCTTGTCGTTTCTTCTTTGATTTTATGTTTGTACTTCCCTACCCTATCATGTTTGTTTTTTTGAGAAATTTACTTTTCCATGTTTCAGGCTATTGGAAGGCTTAGAAGGAGACGTGAGAAGCACAAGAAAATTCTACTTCTCGGTAGAGTTCACTAAAGACATCTTATTCCAAATAAAACTGAAGAGTATTAATAAAATAAATGCACAGAATAGGAAAAGCTGCCACCAAACTTCCTAGAAGAAATCAATCAGTGTTCGGTTTCTCTCTGCTTCTTCTGGAGGAAGTCAAGTTCAAGTGATACATTGTTATCTGACCAAACAGGTTAGAGTTCACTGGAGATACAAATAGAACCTGCCAGTCACAAGGTCTCAGCCAGACACAGAACCACTCACTGTGAGGCAGAGTCATGAGGAATACATCATCAATCAGACACAACCTCCAGAGCAAAAATCACTGGTTGTGCAAAACTAGGGTGCATGTTGAACTCCGTGAGTGTAATGTCTTCAATGTGACTAAGAGAAAAAATTCACCAATTCCTCTGCTTCTTCCAAATACATCAAGACCAGTTAGATAAAGCCCCCACCCCCTTTTTTTTAGATTTTATTTATTTATTTGACAGAGGGAGACACAGCCAGAGAGGGAACACAAGCAGGGGGAGTGGGAGAGGGAGAAGCAGGCTTCCCACTGATCAGGGAGCCCGATGTGGGGCTCAATCCCAGGACCCTGAGATCATGACCTGAGCCGAAGGCAGATGCCCAACGACTGAGCCACCCGGGCACCCCGATAAAGGCTTTTTTTTAAAAAAAGATTTCTTTTTTTAAACACTGGTTGTGTTCCCTCTCTCGCTGTGTCTCTCTCTGTCATATAAATAAATAAAATCTTAAAAAAAAAAAAAAAGATTTCCTGCCTTTGATTTTTTTCAATTTTTTTTATGGAAAATCAAAGCTATGTAAAAAAGCAGACAGAATAGTAGAACGAGCTTCCCCTGATTCAATATTATTATTATGCAAATTTAACAGTTATCAACTCGTGGCCAATCTTCTTTTACCTATTCCTCTCCTCCCCCAACAACTGCCACCCTCCCAATGATTGGGAAGCAAATTCCAAACACCCTACATTTCTTCTGTAACCATCACAGGATGAGATGAGTTCTTTTAAGGATAGTATTTCCATTTAGTGACTATAAAGCCTGGTATGTTTCTATTTAAATCATTAGCTGCCACTGTATTTGTCCAGAAGCATTGGGGTTTGATCTTCATATCCTTGTTTTTTGTGTGTTCCTCATTCTTGAACAGTCTGGCTGCTCCACTGAATCTGTTCTTGCTAAGGGCAAGGACCTTCTAGTTGCCCAATTCAAGGGAAACTTTTCAGTATTTATTTGGCATTCCTCCACATTTAACCCTCCCATGCTCTCCCACTGCTTTTTCCCCTTCCAAGATATGACTGTCATTCTCTTACAGTTCTTTGGCTCTGGTTCATTCTCTGTCTCTGTCTCTCTCTCTCTCTCTGCGTCTCTCTTGCTCCCTCCCTCTTTCCCTCTCTGACTTTTTCCTTTGGAGACTTTTATGATGGAAAAGATGCCACTGGGGTTGCCTGGTTGGCTCAGTCGGCTAAGGGGTCCGATTCCTGGTTTCAAATCAGGTCCTGATCTCATGGGTCCATGAGATCGAGCCTCATGTTGGGCCCGGAGCTCAGCCGGAAGTCTGCTTGAGAATCTCTCCCTCTGCCCTCCCCCCACTCATGCAGGCATGCATGTGTTCTCTCTCTCTCTCTCAGTAAGTAAATCTTAAAAAAAAAAAAAAAAAAGAAAAGAAAAGATGCCACTATATTTAAGAAGAGAAGGTAAGCAAAGGGAGGACATAGTCTCTCACAAGTTCTCCCCTGGTCCTCTGATACTGGATAATGTTCACTCATGACTCATGACTCTGAGAAGATTTTCAAACATGTTTGCAGCTCCACACTGCCACCCACCAGCAACCAGCTGTGAACAGCCAACCCAACAAAGACCAATGTCTTCTCGGCTTAAAAACAAAACTTCGTAAGAGCTTTTCTCTCTCCTTTTTACTATCTTTACAAATAATTTTCTTTTCAATGGCTGAAATACATTTCTGTTACAACTGTACAAGACCAAAGTGGACTACATTTTATTTGAACCAGGAATGAAAAATACGTCAGGCAGGGACAAATAGAAAATCAGTCTTACCTCATCAAAGACCTTGGAAACAACATGCTTGTCCAGAATGGGAACATAGGTGGGGATGTGAGGGACCGCTGTCATGGACAAGGCATCCATGACAGTGAGTTTCTTGGCAACCAAGCCATGGGTCTTGAGCCACTTTTCTGAAGACATACTTGAAGAAATAAGAACACAGACTATGATGCTTTAAAACTTGTAATAAATAAAAACACAACAAAACCTCCCTGGTAAAATTAAAGTACTCACTCTTGGTCATGAACCTCTTTTCCTTCTCGACTCACTCTTCCTAATGATTTGCCATCTAGGTACTCATTTGTCAGCAGGGTGCTTATTTCTGTGGAAGGAGAAAATGACAGTTGTATAATTTCGTAATAAATGGGTTTTTTTAATCAAAAATGCAAAAGGATCACGCTTATCTTTTAGTTCGGTTGTGACCGATGATTAACAAATGGACCATATTTCAGAGAATCCTGACTGTCATAGTGGGTTCTTTGGCAAGATTCATTTGCAATTACACTAAAGACCAATGCACAGATGAATACGGCCCTATCATTGTTTTGCTTATCTACTTCATCCCATATCCATTGAGATCCCTCTCCATGGAAGAATGAGACATTCATTCTCTCATTCCCCAGAAAACACATTTTTACAATGTTAAATTTGACAATGCCATTAACCAATGATTGTTCAATGTTGGCTTCATTAGACTCCCCCCAAATTATACAAAAGAACCTTGATCAACATTTTAGTTTCTGATAGTTGCTTTGTGGTTCCTCCACTCTGTATGGAAAACCAAAATCCCTATTAGATCCTGTTTAGTTGTAGATATACATTTTCAAATCAATATTTGGGATTTTTAATATATATATCCTTATATAAACTTGGACTTATAAGTGGAAAGAAATATTAGCTAGTTGAATTGGCAGCATCTAGAAAGAGGGCTGTTTGGGAGTGAGTTGGTTGAATATCTAAGAAATCATACTCTACTCATCATATGCTAAGCCCTTTAAGAACCATGCATATAGCAGACCTAGGGACTATGACAGGTTAACTGAAACACAGGAAAAGACATCACAACAATCAGCACTAAAGAACATAAGGTTAGATTCAGCTATGATAGAGTGTACACTTCTCACTCAGTCACTTCCTCCTACTTAGGGGACTGATTGTACATATCTGTGTCATTAGTTTGATTTACTAGTTATCAACTATTTGAAATACAGGGAAAAGTCCTACAGGAATTAAACTCTTAGAAATTTACGATTTTAAGAATAAGGATTTTATTATTATAATAAAATTGGGGTGGAAAATCATATTTTCCTCACACTTAGCCCCCCAAAGGCTGACAATATGGACCAGAGAGGGGCTCATCAGATGTCGCCACCTGTGAATGAAGGGAAGAAAATAAACCAACTGTGAAGTATTAGGTTTTCAAGTTCAAACCACGGAGGGGCAGCAAGCACTACACTAGCACCATAGTTATGTGAGCCACTTGTGTATTAAACATCCAGGCACAGTAATTGCAAATCTCAGTCTAAGAAAATCCAGTTCACTATAGCAGGCAGACATGATTTACAAGGAGTCCCTGAATAGAAAGCAAACCTAACCCACTTAAAAATGATTTGTTTCCCCCAAAATGTATCTACACCCAGCTTTTTAGGAGCAGACACACTGGGCAAAGGGAGGCCAGCCTGCGCTTCCTGATATAGAGACTCTCTCTGGCTTGCCTCTGTCACTTGGAGTGTTCCAGCTGCTGGAAGTGGAAAGGCCGTCTGTCCTCTTGCTGCAAGCTGAGCTCTTGAGGCTGGACATCTGGTTTCTGAGCAGGCTGGTTTTGGTTGATTCTGTTGGTATCAAAGGGAAAGGGGTTAAAGGAATTGGGACAAAAGGAGATACTTTATTAGATGCACCTATTTTCTTGGATCCTTAAAAAAAGAATGCAGCTTCCAAATCTTAGAGGACAGTTCTGCCACCAACTAAATGCTGCAGTAAAGGCTTGTTCCACTTATCTGAGCTCAAGCTCTGCCCCTCTTTGAGAGAGATCTACTTCCAAGCTCATTCAAGTTGTTGGCAGAACTCATTTCCTTGCAGCTGCAGGACTGAGGTCCCTCTTTCCTTGCTGGCTGTCAGGGGGCCTCTCAGCTCCCTAAGCGCCCACATTACTACTCATGTAGCCCCTTCATCTTCAAGCCAGCAATGGCACACTGAATTCCACTCGTGCTTCAAGACTCTCTGACTTTCTTTTCTGTCACCAGCTGGAAAAAAGCTCCTCCTTTAAACAGCTCATGTATACTGGGCTCTCCTACACAACCTTGGTTTAAGATCAACATAACATAATCCTAGGAGTGATGCCTCACCATATTCACAGATTGCAGTCCTTTAACTAGCAAATAGATACTTATCAAATATTGACATTTAATCTGTGTGTTATATAGAAAGTAAGGAGCTTGTACCAAGACATCTTGATTATTTTTCATATGCAATCACAGAAACCACATTAATTGTAAATGTGTTCTGTACTTCACAATTTGGAGGCACAAGTACCAAGGTTTTATGTAGTATTCATGAATGAGATGTGTCCTTGTTTTCAACAAGAAGAGATTTAGCCTCTCCTATTAAGAAACTAGATAATTAGACTGAAGATGAGCTAATAATCTATAAACTGTCTCTCTTTTTCACAGAAAGTCAACATCAGTGGTCTCTGTACATAGAGATAGGACTGTGCTAAGTGTTATTCATTATTTTTCTAGGCAACAACAGGGTGATTCCTGTCTTGGTTGCCTCTGTAACCGGGAATTAAGAAGGATAAACTTCGTTGGGAGCTATGTCTGTGAGTAAAAGAGATAAATGATCTACATAGGAGAGCTGAACTCTGGCAGGCCACCTTGACCAAAATTGTTAGGCAAAACAACAGGTGTGCCAAAATGAAAATAAAATTTAGCTCCAAAAGTCTCCAAACATAAAAACTGTACTATTCCCAAACCCTGAAAATAATGAATAAAAACATATTTATCTGGCAGTGGATTCAAGCACTTAACTACTCCCCATGTTCTGTAGTCAGTCACTACATTTCATTACTCTTCTATGTTAAAAATTGAAACAGAATAAAAAATTCAGGACAGGGATGCCTATCAGTAGCAATAATCCCAAATCTAAGTGAAATGGTGGAGGTGACGAAAGGCCATTAAAATGTTTAGGACAAGTAGCAAGTAGCATTTCTAGCAAAACTCAGGCTTACTGGAATGGCAGGCAGGCTACACAAGTGGCCTGGTATGGGCATGAGCCTGACTTTCCTCCCTTGTACAGAGATACCAGAACAAGTGGACAGATCATGCAAGATTGATCCAGCTATGGCAACTGGCCCATACCAGGAAGCCTCTTGGCGTCTGTAGGTTCAAGGCTCCCCTCCTTTGCCTACAGACATGAAAACACTCAAAAGATAGTAGTGGGGAAGCTACCACAATTTTTCCCCACAAGAGACATCCAGCCTCCTGGCCTGAGGAAACTCTTGCTGCTCCCTTACATAGCACCAGCAGGGACCAGTTGTAGCCCCACTAACACCAGCAAACCAAGCACCAAAATAATATCACAAAGGCTGTGAAAATTACCATTGGAACCACAGTCCACAGAAGCAGGCCAAGGTCTATGTGCTAACTTTAAACAGGGCAAAATGTTCATCATCATTAGCCATCAGGGAAATCCAAATCAAAACCACATTGAGATACCACCTTACACCAGTTAGAATGGCAAAAATGGACAGGGAAAGAAACAACAAATGTTGGAGAGGTTGTGGAGAAAGGGAAACCCTCTTACACTGTTGGTGGGAATGCAAGTTGGTACAGCCACTTTGGAAAACAGTGTGGAGGTTCCTCAAATATTTAAAAATAGAGCTACCTTATGACCCAGCAATTGCACTCCTGGGTATTTACTCCAAAGACACAGATGTAGTGAAAAGAAGGGCCATATGCACCCCAATGTTCATAGCAGCAATGTCTGCAATAGCCAAATTGTGGAAAGTGCTGAGATGCCCTTCAACAGATGAATGGATAAAGAAGATGTGGTCCATATATACAGTGGAATATTACTCAGCCATCAGAAAGGATGAATACCCAACTTTTACATCAACATGGATGGGACTGGAGGAGATTATGCTAAGTGAAATAAGTCAAGCAGAGAAAGTCAATTATCATATGGTTTCACTTATTTGTGGAACATAAGGAATAGCATGGAGGACATTAGGAGAAGGGAGGGAAAAATGAAGGGGGGCGGGAATTGGAGGGAGAGATGAACCATGAGAGACTATGGATCTGAGAAACAAACTGAGGGTTTTAGAGGGGAGGGAGGAGGGAGGATTGCTTAGCCCAGCGATGGGTATTAAGGAGGGCACGTACTGCATGGAGCACTGGGTGTTATATGAAAACAATGGATCATGGATCACCACATCAAAAACTAATGATGTATTGTATGGTGACTAACATAAAATAATTTTTTAAAAAAAATCTAAAAAATAAAAAATAAAAATAAACAGGGCAACTACTTCCCAAAATAAAAGATCTGAATAGGATCCAGAGTCCCTTACATAATAGACAAAACATTCAGGATACTATAAAAAATTACCCATCATAGCAATAACCATGAAAATCACACCTTAAATGAGAAAGACAATCAAATGATGCCAACAGAATGAATGATGTATCAGAAGTTGGGATTATCTGATAAGGATTTCAAAGAAGCTGTCATAAAAATGCTTTAACAATTAATTACAAATTCTCTTGAAACAAATGAACAAATAGAAAATCTCAGCTAAGAAACAGAAGTTATAAAAATTTCCAAGTGGAAATTGTAGAACTAAAAAATAAAATAACAAACTTGTTGGATGGGCTCAATAGTAGAGCAGAGATGACAGAGGATAGTGTCAGAGAACTGTAGGACAGACAGAACAATAGAATTCAGCCAATTTTAACAGAGAAAAAAATATGACAAAAGATAGAGACTCAGGGACCTGTAGGATAATAACAAAATATCCAACATTCATACCATCCAGGTCTCAAAAGGACAGGGAGACAGAAAGAAGAACAGAGACTTTCTGAAGAAATAGTAGATGAAAACTTTCCAAATTTGGTGAAAGACACAATGTACAGATTCAAGAAGCTGAACAAACACCAAACAGAATAAACCCAAGGAAATCCATGCCAAGATGCATTACAGTAAAACATTTGAATATCAGAGACAAAGGAAAAAATCTTGAAAGTAGCCAGAGAGAAAAGACATATTACCTAAGGGAACACCAGTTTGAATGGCAGAAAATTTCACATTTAAAATGTAGGAGGCCCCAAAGAGAGGCTTCACTATTTTTCAACCACAAAAAGGAAAGAACAATTGACTGCAAATTCTGAATGTAAAATTGTCCAATTGTCCTTCAGGAATTAAGAGAAAATAAAACTATTCTTACACATGGTAAAAAAAAAAACAAAAAAAAACAAAAAACTGTGGCTAGGAGATCAATCCTTAGAAATGACTGAAACAGACATTATAACACCACCTGATACTCCAGATAATGGTATTTAAACCTGGGGAATATAAAGAAATTTGAAATTTTCTAAATTGAAGTAAGATTTCCACACTCACACAAAGTCAACAAAATGTTGACACCACTAGACTTTTACAAGTCACTTACATATGCTGTCCATACCCAGAGAAACAATTGCAAAAATCATACAAAGAGAGAAATTTTTTAAAAACTACAAGTAAGCCAAGACAGAATTATAAAAAATGTTCAAGTAACCTGAAGGAAGGCAAGAAACAAGAAAGAGGAAAAAGACCAATGAAAATAAATAGAAAATAATAAAATAATAGAAGTGCTAACATATCAATTATTACTTTAAATGTAAATGGTTTAATACTACTAATCAAAAAATATATTGGCAGAGTGGATAAAAGAACAATATCAAAATATATGCTACTTCTAGGAAATTTACTTTCTTTAAAAAAAGATTTATTTATTTGAGAGCGAGAGCATGTGCTTGCATGAGCACAGGTGGGGAGAGGCAAAGAAAGAGGGAGAGAAAGTCTTAAGCAGACTCTGAGCTGAGTGTGAAGCCCAACAACAGGGCTCAATCCCATGACCCTAGATCCTGACTGAGCCAAAACCAAGAGTTGGACACCATGCCAATCAGGCGCCCCAAGAAATTTACTTTAAGTACAACACTGATAGACTGAAAGTAAAAGGATGGGTATTAAGCCATGTTGTGATGAGCACTGGGTGTTATATGCAACTAATGAATCGTTGAACACTACATCAAAAACTAATGATGTACTATATGTTGGCTAACTGAACATAATAATAAAAGAAAGTAAAAGGATGGAAAAAGACATACCATGAAAATATTAATAAAAAACTGGCATGGTTAATATTAATACCTGATAAAATAGAATTCACAGCAAAGAAAATTTACATAATAAAGGGATCAATCTACCAGGAAAACATAGAGCCTAAATGGGCACACATAAACCAGTCTTAAAATATATGAAGTTAAATAAAACTGATAGAGCTCAAAGGAAAATGAGACAAAGCAACAAATATAGTTAAGGGCCTCATAACTTCCCTCTCAAAAACTGAAAGAACTACTAGACACAAAATTGGCAGGGGCAGAAAACACACAGTCAACCAGCAGTATCCAGCTAACATAGACAGAATACTCCCCCCAGTAACAGTAGAATACACATATCTTTTCCAGTGCCCACAAATCTTCATATCTTTACAAAGATAGACTATAAGTCATTAAAACAGATCCCAACTAATTAAAAAGAATTGAAATCATACAGAGTGTGTTCTCTGACCATA